GGGAACAATTGTTTCGCTTAACGAGTGTTTCGCATTACGAGTAAGATTTTGGAAGGAATCAAGCTCGTTAAGCGAGGATCCACTTGGTACGTCGGCCACTATTTGGCCTATTGTACCAGCCCCAGTGATAGATGATGAAGATTGTGGAGCGATCGGTGAAATGCGAATTGGCAGGGGAAATCCAAGCACTGGGAGAGAACCTGCTCCATTACCACTTTGTCCACGAAAAATCCCACATGACTTGACCCGGGCTCGAACACGGGCTGCCGCGGTGGGTAGCCGGGCGACTAACCGCCTGAGCTATTACACGGTCAAGTTTAGAGCTTAGTCAGTTCTATACGGGAGTCTGTGACGAGAGAACTTGAGCCCTGAGGCAGAGGAATAGTCACTGTTGGAGCCGTTATCAGGAAACGTCTAGTAACAGACTGAGAGCGCTAGACTCTATGCTCTAGTGAACTGTAAAGTGTGGAAATAGAGACAGTGTTCTAGTTATTTGTAGTTACGACTTGGTCAATAAAGCTATTCACCAATCCAAACCCCGTCTATAATCACACCTATACATGGCAGCTGGTGTCAGACATGGTGGACTGAGACGAAAGCTTTTGACAAAGCAGAGACGTGTCCTCTCGTCAGAGAGAACTCCCCATTCATGATGACCACTGTAAGCGTCTTAGACTGAGCAATCCCAGCACCAAGACAGCACTGACCGTCAGTTCCGATGTGGCTCGAACTTTAAAGGGGGATCCGCAAGCCAAGGAAACAAAAAGGGCGAAGCAGGATTATGTCTCGCTTCTCCTACAGAACCCCTGGGGATATGTGAATCACGAAACATGGGATTAGATGAAATATTTTCTTAAGGGGGGCACGTAGTAACGCAGTTGGTTGAAGCACTATGCTACTAGCCGGAAGGTCGCGGATTCGATTCCTGATGAAGTCTTTGGAATCCTCAACTGACCTAATATTCCAGCCACATTATGACCCTGGGGTCATAACAGAAATGAATAGCAGGAATCTTCCTGGAGGTAAAGTGCGGCCGGCGCCTAAGTCTTACAGCTTTACCGCCATCTGTGAGTCGATTGTCTAGAAAACGTGGGAGCCTCGACGTCTCACAACCCTATGGGCCTCCACGGCCTGTTACAGGGATAGCTTTACCTTATTTATTACCTTACATGAATAAAAGCCCCCCCCCTTCCCCAGCCACCTACAACTGCTCTAACATGCCTCGATTGCATTTTGCTGGTCTTCAGTTCCAAGTGCTGCGTGATCCGAGCTTTCGTTGTGCTTTCCTTATTCCATGCAAGCGATCTTCGAAATGGTATCGTCAAATATTAACGGCTCTTATAATTTCTCTATTAGTATCCTGTGCGCATTCCCTTTTATCCCATTCAAAGCTACATAACGATTTATATTGCATCGTAACGTTCAAAATAAACACTTCATTCTATCACAACAGATGTGCCTAGACCCATATCATGTTTCATCATACGCAAAAATACTCTTGACAGATATTCTCTGCGAGATACACGTATAAGAGATCAGTTCTAAATTTGCCCTTGTGCTTAACATAGTTGGGATAGCTCATTCGATATAGTGATGGGCTACAAGCTGGATTGCCAGGGTTCGATACCCTGCAGGAGTAACAGAGATTTTTCTCTACCCCACAGCGTAGGGACCCTCTCTGGGTCCCACCCAGCCTCCTGTCCAATGTGTACCGTGGGTCCCTCTCGATGATCAACCGCCTGGGTCATGAAGCTGACCATTCGCCTCCGTCTAAACCTTATATCAACATTTATGGAGTTATACCTCTTCTCCCCCATACGTCTTAATAGTGTGGTGCTTAATTAATTAAGCACAGAGGCAACTTCACCTGTTTATAACTTCACCCTCTGCTTAACTAAGCACCACAAGTTGAACACGTAAGGAGAGATGAAGGTAGAGATCATTAAGTTCCTAACCGCGGCGTTGGTCAGATTTACACCCCGGCCAGTTTATCCCCGGTACTCATTGGATGCGAGGTTCGTGGTTCGAGAGCAGGTTGTCATCAGTGGATAACATACGGATTTCTGCCTCCCCAGAGAATCAACTTTCGGTTACTCGACCCGGAATCAGAGTCAAATCCAGTATTATCACATGTCACTTACATGGAGTGTAAGAAAAAATTGGTAAACCTCTCTTTGCAGCAGGGCGTGTAGGTCCTCAGGGTTGTGAGACGTCGAGGCTCCCACATTTTCTCTAGACAATCGGCTCACAGATGGCGGTAAGGTTGTCAGCCTTACGCACCGGCCACCCTTTAACCCCCAGGAAGGTTCCTGGCACTATTTTCTGTTAAGGCTGAGTCGACTCCAGGGCCATGTTACGGATGGAAATCCAATGACCTCATCGGGAATCGAACCCGCGACTTTCCAGCTTGTAGCATAGTGCCTTGACAAACTACGCTACCACATGCCCCTAGCGTGAAAGCAGGTCGCTGCCGAAAAAACGTCCGTTGATGTTAAACGGACTTCAAGGCATTATATCCCAGAAGATAGAAGTCTTCGTAACCACCAGTGTGAAAACCTCAAATCCTAAAAAAAAAGTCCTTTAATAATGGGCGTCCATGTTCATACGCTTCATAATGAAGTTCTCTTTTTGGAAAATCCAAATACACTTTTCTTTCTTCCAAGCCCATCTTCACCACTGTGCGTATTGTTAGACCTGACCGTTCTGAACAGAATTCTTTGTGGATTTAGTCAACTCCATTAGCTGAGATAAGATTTGCAGTGTGTGCATGGGTTGTAACAGGATTTTGTTTACAATGCAGCACCCTCCCTCCCTTCCAGAGGACAGCAAAACCACAGTCCCGCTACTACACTTCCCCTCATGCGCAAAGCAGAAGCCAGGTCTAAACACACGGCCTCTATTTGACCTTGACATTTAAACGCGGTAAGCGGGGAGAGAGGAGGAGAGTTCGCTTGTAGTTTCGCCCTTGTTTAGCAAGTCCAATGGCCGGTGCATAGGCTTGCAGAACATTCTCTTCTGTCGTGTTTTTCGCAGTAGAATTGTGCTTTATTATCACTGTACACCCTTTATCGTCAATAGAAGATTATTTCTGTGTCAAGAACGTTCTAAACAGCTGTTACCATCAGGCATAGTTCCGAATAATTAGTTAACGTTTTTATGTGCATGTGTATCACTGTTGTAGGCTACTGTTTATATGCGGACACTGGAAGATAACAACATTATCAATCAGGTTTAGATAACCGGAGTTCTGATAACAATGTCACATAAAACTTAGACCCAGTAGCAAAACTGAACCTCTGCAATATCTTCATTCTTAAATTAATGCAACAATGACGATTTTATTTGTGTATTTATAAGACTTGCTCGTCTGTTTATGAAAACGCCATATGACTATCTTTTGTTCCATTTACGTAACCGAAACTGGTATTGTATTAACCATCGCTATGCTCCAAGCATTTAGCACTCAGCGGAACGGAAGACATTTACCTTGGCCGGCATTTCGTTCTTTTGTGTTTTCTCCGTGCTTCGATTTACTCTGCTGAGAGCATTTCTCTATTCTCATTCACTAAAGGCAGTGGCTATGACGTTTCCACCCACGCGTCCTCAACGTATTTTAGTTTTCACTTCCCTCCGTTCCCCTCGGCCTTTGTAACGTACAATCTACGAATCTTTGTCAATGAAATGACGTAACGGACAGCGATTGGTTAAACGGAGGATACCACGTGACCAGTACGAGAAACATGGGCGTATTGATTCCCCTCACAATCGGTAAGAGTCAGGATCAAGTCACGTGTATTCCTTTGTAACCCTCGTTAGTTGGGGCAATTTTAACTTTAAAAGTTCATGAGAGGCAATAAATATTATTAAAACGTCATAAGAATTTATGGCCGTAGGAAGCATGTTAATTTTCACAGGCGTTTTATGCTGAAAGAATTGTTGTAGCGAATATTGAAAAATTAATAAAATAACAATAATGACGTGAAAAGGGTAGTTTTGCTTGGTTTTAATTAATTAAGCACTACGCTATGAAGACTTTTGGATGAGTGGAAGTATAACCACACCTTTCTTGACCTCTGCACTAGGTGAAGTTTAGTGGTTAGCTTCAAGCCCCTGCCTCTTTACCCCCTAGGAGAAAGAGCTCCCGGTACTTACTGGTTAGAAAGCTGGGTGGGTGGGGGAAGATCCGGTCTGTAGGCTGTAGACAAGAGAAAAATCCCTTGTTTGTAATTTAGAAAAAAATTGGAGGTGATACCGAATTATTGGTTATCAAAGTCCTTAATTATAAAGGCAATATACACTTAGTTGTTAATATTTGGTATATTTTCTTCTAGAGGCGCGCTTGTCTTCATGATCTAGTTTGTATATTTTATTATAGTCTCGCTATTATTATGTACAGATTTGTTCAAATATGCCCTTAAACGTTCGCTCTCCATTAACAAAATTGCTGTTGTTATGGCTTTAGTATGAAACAGCTAATATTATACAGGCTCTTCTGTTTGACAAAGAAGCATTAATTTGAATAAGCTAATAGAGAAACATAAATTTATCATAGTTATACTGGATCCATTTCTTTGTTTATGCGTTTCATACCTTTTACAATGCGTTTCTCTCTCTTAAATATTTGAAAATAATTCCACTTTTAATGTTCAGCTCAATTATATTAGGCCTGATGCGGCAGTTCGCACGGGATCATTAGTTTGACTTGCCGGATAATAACTAAATCTTGCTTCGGATTCTACAAAAATTCCTGTGCTGTGCTGGATTTGTTGGCAATATACAGAGAAACTGTTGCAGTTATGGGAAACAAGTGGATTAAGAAATCTCCGATTGATTTGCTAATATAACATTATCGTTTGACGAGGACGTTGTCATGGCGTATGCTACAGCGGGCGGGGAGGGTTAAAACAAATGAATGTATACGGGCGGCAGGCGGGATTTGGTTTGGAAGCTTCCAAAAGCGTAGGTGAGGTGGGGTTGCTGTCGCTTAGTTGTCTTCTTAGATAGCGCACGGAAGCTGGGGAAGGATGCTAGAGGAAGTCAGTGTGCTGAGAGGAGTTGCGTGAGGAGGTAGTTTGTTGTTTGAAATGAGACATGGACGCGTTTGGAGTTGCTTGTGTGACAGAAAGCCAACGACTGGCGACATGAACATTCAAGAAACGTTAAATAAGCAAATGTGAGTGTATGTTTATGTTATGTTTGGGAGAAAAAATAATTACACTATATTTGAAGGTATAGTGAAGGCGTATGACATTTCAGTAACTTGAAACGTCCATGAAATAAAAATCTGTCCCTTGTGTTTGTGGACTTACTGTCTGACAGAGAAGAATGCCCTCGGAGGATGACAGTGAACGAGCGACAATGATGGAAATGTGCGTTAGTAAGGAATGGCTATTTCAAGAACTACGTTCCGACGCCTCAAGACTTGTGATTCTCGATTGCCGAAGTTCAAATGAATATGGTGAATCGCACATTAGGCATGCTGTAAATTTTAGCATTCCCAGTATAATGCTACGAAGATTAGCAGCAGGTAAAATTGATCTTATGTCCACAATTAAATGCCCAGAACTTAAGGCCAAAATCAAGAACGCTTATAAGGAGAATGTGTTCGTTGTTTATGGTGGTTTCAACGTGACAGAGCAGCACACACGAACTCAACAACAGTCTGCAAGTTTCACTGCGAGTGATACGCTTCATGTACTAGCCAAACATTTGGTCCAAGATGGCTGCCAAGTGGCGTGTTTAGAAGGTAAGCAAAGTTATTTCTAAATTTCATCTTATTTGGTAGGTTAATACTGAACATAGGATGTACATATTGTGTGATTTGAGGTCTATCGAATGGGCAGAACTTCGAGTTCAATTCTCAATTAAAGCGCGAAATTAAAACTCTTCCAAATAATCACGTAACGTTAGCTTGTTATTTCATACAGTGTATTTTGTTTCTCCTTTTCTTTTGTTTGTTTTGTGTTAAATTTCGAATAATTAGGTGCTGCAGAAATGAAGAATATCGTTGGGATATCACTGGTAAATCCCACATATATTACATACAATAGCAGAGAAGATATTTCATACATTAATTGTAAATATTGACATTCTTAGAATGACAGCTAAATCGTTTCCATGTGCACTCTGGGCTGTTCCATTTTTATTCCGCGGGGAGTTGGGTAGAAATAACGGAAACGCCTCTCTCGCCATTACTATACAAATCGTGCAGGATACAGGAAAATACCTGGATCCATTGATGCAAAATTATTTGTCGGTCGTAATTATCAGATTTGTAAGTTTGTTTGATAATTGGTTAACGGCCAAAGAATAAGTATTTGTTTATGTCTGTAGTTGGCATGTTGCAGGGCAAATGCTAGGGTATGAAAGACATCTGTGAGATCCTGAGTATTGGCAACTGTTTTGAGATACACAGTTTCCCTAAATACAAATCTTTAAGTTATCAATAGATTTCGGGATAAGAAGTGCGGGTTCAGGTCTAATCTCTGAATATTGATTTTATAAAGGTGCATGACTTGCAAAGAGAAAATGATTTACAACTTAAATGCGCGTATTCGGCCAGGAGGATGACATTATAGGCCCATTTTCTTTCTTTGAGTGTAAGAAACTAGGTATATGAGACTATCATGCGCCCCGTGTACATTAATCCACTTTTAGCATTTAAACAAGACAGATTCCCACGAAATTTTGTATGAACGTTATGCAGTTGGACTCGCAAGTGTATACGTTTTTTGATTTTCTACATGTCATAGACCTGATAACAAAATGACGAAAGCATGGCAATAGTGCCACTTAATTTAGGATCACGAAATTGTGCACATAGTAATAGAACTCGAGAAAAATATTCAAGCTTTTTTTATGTGTTTTTGGGCTATGAAACAATAGTATGGTGGCCGCGAAAAAAATTATTGGCCTTGTTTTTGACAGAGATAACTGCTGGATCATTGGACCAAAGAAAATATGAAGTTTTGTACCATTCTAGTTTGTAAACATTCCCCACAAATTATGTAGGAAATATGGTTTACAGGTATGTGAACAGTGACGACAACGATGTGAAACTTTAAAAGTCGTATTTGACAATTTTAACCCAGACAAATCTGTACTTAATACGTTCGTCCACCAAAGGAAGTATTATTAATACTGCTGCTAACAGTGATAACAAGTCCGTAACATGTCTACAGTTGCATGGAGTAAGATTCGATATGATCAGTACGATTGCATGAGCGTGACGCATCAGTACATATCCTAAACTGCATTTATTGTTGGATACTTCGTCTACATTGACGGATTAGGCTCTATGTCGTGATCCCATTCGAAATTAATTTTGTTGTTGAATTATACTAGAAGTGTATTACTTAAATATGATATTAACAGTGCAGGATTCTCAGCAGGGGCAAGGAATTTTCCCCTTCTTCGTAACGACCAGAACGGTTCTGGGCCCACCCAGCCTCCTATCCAATGGGTACCTCGAGGCCCTTTCCTTGAGGATAGAGCGGTAGAAGCGTGAAGCTTATCAGTCATCTAGATAAAGGTAAAGTTATGTCTGTGCCTAGTTAATAAAGCACCATGCCATGGCGCACTGGAGGCAATAGGTCGACTATTCTTGATCTTGGCATTAGATGGAGGTGAGTCGACAGCTTCACGTCCCGGTCGCTTTAACCCCGTGGAAAGAGCATCTGATACCCACTGGACAGGAGGCTGGGTGGGCCCCAGAGCCGGTCTGGACGCTGTTGAGAAGAGAAGAATATTTCACTGCTGGAAATCGAACCCCGGCCGTCCAGCCTGTCGCTATACCGACTGAGCAACTCGGCTCTTAAAATCAGTAAATTAGCATTTATTTGATGGATCGGAATTTACAGAACATTTCTTGGAATAAGACTAGTACGGAGGCACTTTGCTACAAACCGGAAGGTCGCGGGTTCGATTCCCCATGAGGTAATTGGATTTTTCAATTTATCTGCTCCTACCAGTCGCACTATGGCCCCAGGGTCGACTGAGCCTCTAACAGAAATGAGTACAGGGATCTTCTTGTGGGTAAAGGGTGGCCGGCGCTAAGGCCGATAACCTCACAACCATCTTTGAGCCGATTGTCTAAAGAAAATGTGGGAGCCTCGACGACTCAACCCTATGGACTTCAACGGCCTGTTACAGGGATAGCTTTACTTAACCTCACCGCCATCTGTGAGCCGATTGTCTAAAGAAAACGTGGGAGCCTCGATGTCTCACAACCCCATCGGCCTTCACGGCCTGTTAACGATAGCTTTACTTAATCTCACCGCTATCTGTGTGAGCCGATTGTCTAAAAGATGTGGGAGCCTCGACGTCTCACAACCCTATGGTCCTCCACGGCCTGTTACAGGGATAGCTTTACTTAACCTCACCGCCATCTGTGAGCCGATTGTCTAGTAAATGTGGGAGCCTTGACGACTCCCAGCCCTGTGGTCCTCCGAAGACTGTTACAGGGATAGCTTTACCTTTACCCCACATATTTCTTGGGACTTGGCGTGACAGAAATTCACCCTTCTTCCTGAGCAACAGTTGAAGCGGTCCCCTGTCGTGCAACTGAATGTAAGATCTGGCCCAGTTCTCCTCCAGGTTAAGGAACTAAACTTTCTCACGCTAAATAATTTGCTGCTTGCTGTACTAATTTAATTTATCCCCAAAGGATGTAATTAATCTAAACCAGGATTAAAGCAATTGAAATTAATTAAGCCTGCATCTGAATTTTTTCTGATACACATCCCACTTTCATCTTCACCGTCAAAGAATAAGCGAAACAAGTAATCAGCAAGAAATAAGCCATAATGAGGAAACCTCATTCAGAAATAAGCTTGAAAAGAGGGTCTGCTCTTTTTGACTTTCTCAGTGCCCATTTGGGGCCCTATATCTGAACAAGGTTTTCTTCGCGCACCAAAATCTGCCTGCTTAACTTATCCTTCGACCCTGGAGATGGAGGGAGAATTTTCCTCCGAAACGTCGGGTAAAGCATCTACCAGACCACATGGCATCATTTCCGTCTTAATAGACATCGCTGTGATAACCAAAAGCGCAACATTTTTTTCGTTGGTGAGTAAAGGCGCAAATCATTTTGCAGTGTTATGTGCTTTGTTACCCGTGAGTTGCACCTGTAAGCATGAAGAGTTCCTGCACCCGCCCGGGAGGTCTTTTCCGTTCCGTCATTGCCTAGCAACCGTGCTGCTTCGGGCAATTTGCTGCATCCGGTAAGCAAACAAAGGAATGCTATGTGAGACTGACTGAGAGCAGTTCTCATATATTCTAAATGATATTATTATGAGAGTCCCCAAATATACCATTAAGATGGTAATTGTGTCTAAAACATCGTCAAGGTTGCGTCATCATTTGATACTGATGTAGTTCCGTTACATCATCGTTAGAAGCTACAGGGCGATTTATTTGGAAGAAGTTCCGAATTTACCCTGTGGTTACTATACGTACCACCTTCTCTAACATACGAAACCTCTGCATTCTGCCCACACAGTATATTTCTGTGTTTCATATGTTTCTCGCAATAAAAAGCGCTTATTTCCCCCAAACAGCATTAACCTATTGGTCTTAGTAGCTGAGACGTAATGTGTTTCCTGTGACTTACGAACTGAATTCTTGTATATTGCAGAGCCGTGCGTTCTGCCCGCAGTGTGTTTGTGTGTTCCGTATGGTTCTCGCAATAAACAGCGACTGTTTCCCTAAATATAATTAGCCGGCGGGGCTCTGTAGCGGAGACGTAATATGTTTCCTGTGAGGTACGGAGTGGATTGCTATATATTACAGAACTGTGCATTCTGCCCACACAGTGTATTTGTGTGTTCCATATGGTTCTCACGATAAACAGCGACTGTTTCCCTAAATATAATTAGCCGGCGGGGCTCTGTAGCGGAGACGTAATGTGTTTCCTGTGAGTGACTCTGACTCTTTCTGTAATGGGTTAATGATAACGCTGTACTTCGCAACTCTGACCCGGTGCCTGCCTGCCTGCCTGCCTGCCTGGTTCACGCAGGGTCTTTCAGGCTGTACATCCGTTGTGTCATCCTGAGTGTACAGTCGCGAGCGTGTGGTGTCTTGTTGGCCCGAGTCTCCCCACGCGGAGGGATACTAAATATCACCATCCTCTGTTGAATAATTACATCCACATGTACCAATGTATGCGCTTGCCAGGTTTGATTTTCAGCGATAGATTATTCCGTGGTTTATAATTATTCGGGGCGTCACTTTAGAGAATCGTCCTGTAGATTCGGCATAATAGGCATGTTATCTTCTGCGATGTAACGTTGCGTAGTCCGATAGAAGTTTAGCGACGTTTCAGAACATATTGCCCCTGTCTTCAAGGTGAAGAGTAAAACAGTGGCTTTGCATGCCACCTACTTCTTGCTGGATTAATCTGGGTTTACTTTTCGACCCTGAAGCTGGAGGTTGTATGTTACTCCTAAATGTAGGAAAATTTTGCCCGCACTACTTTGCATTATATAACAGCATTGATGTCAGACCCTCGGATCCTTAACTAGATTCTGTTTTCAGTACACTGCAGGAGCCAGAATCGCTCTTTGAACTCAGGGGATTTCTCTACCGTAACGTTCCTTTCTCAAGGCTCGATGGACACCCAAAGATGTGATGGACTATTTGTGTTGAAAGTTTAACATCGCAAACAGTATGGTTCTTTGTAGAATATTTTGTCATGTGGCCATGGATGCGAAACTCGGTCTCTGACATTAAGCGAAGAACATAGACTGA